TGCAACTTGGCATGTGGTCAGTGTAAAGGGATCACATGCACAAATAGGCAAACCCTTGATTTGAGTGAAAATATTGAAGTAACATAGTAATTTATTTCAGAGTAACAATTTCTAAAAAGGTGACAACTGATAGATATGTGGGACTATTTTTTAACACTTCAGTCAATTTTAACAGTATATTATTAGCAGTATGAATTGTCGGCTGTATTTATATTAAAAAGTGTGTTCATTGAAATCGAATTATTTCTTCACTATCATACCATTATTTTAATACAGTATCCTATGTAAAAATAATCCATGTGCCCCGGTACCCCGTCTTACCGTCTCATAATGTGAAATCTCATTTTAAGTTGCATGTTAGTTTACTGGTATTTTATAAAAGCTAAGATCGAAAACTAAAACCTAGTTCTAAAAATAGGCTATTTCTAAAGATGTTTCTTTTATTTACTTTTTGTAAATTTAATAACACGTACTATGCTGATCAAGAAGTTATTTATTTCTAAAGGTAAGTTTTTCAACTTTCCTCCATGGAGCGTATTTTGGTGACTTCCATCTTATGCTTTTAAATTAGATACAATCATATTTTAAGTTGTATATCGATGGTTATAAGCACAACAGTTGTATGTCCATTTTGGTAAACTTTCGGAAACCGCAAAAACAAAGTTTGTATTATGGGGGAAACTTAAACTAAAACTGTTAAATGTTTGAAATAAATAAATTTTATTGGCCCCATTTATTAAAAATGCATCTACATAAATAGTTTTATCTTTATTCAAGCCACATTTTTACAAATAATTTGTAAATCAAACCATGTTGGACATACTATATGTGTGCACTTCTGAACGCGCAGATTTATGGACATGCTACGAGTGTGCAATACAAAAACTGCCCCTAGATGGTTTTAGTAAGGAATGAAAAATTTAAACAACTGTTATCATGGGCGCCCCCTGGCTAAAAAAAAATTAGAAATAAATTTAATACACATAATGTTCTGTGATCACTTGGGTTATAAGGAATTTATAAAAGTATGTTCAAAATGGTCATGTCTAAAAAATGTTTTAAATTGATGTTTAAATCAAATAAGTAGTTGACTCACAGATGTAAAAATCTTTTATACTTTGTATACTTTCATACTTTAACAAAACTATTCAGAAAACAAAACATAAACTTTCTTGGCTGTTATCTAGGCTTTATTCAACTATAATGTTTTTTCTTTATAATTGTTTGGTTAATTGTTAATGTTGGCATAAAAAACGACGACTCCCTCAGGTGACCGTCCTTGATGCATGTACTATTTTGTTTTGGTTGGTTTTATGTATTACAAAATAGCGTAAAAATATGTTTTAAAACACTATATTTTCAGATTTTTCCCGGGGAAGGCCCCGAACCCCTGGAGGTTCGTTAGACCTATATATTAGGGTTGCCCCCTGTTCCAAATTCTGCGGACGCCCATGACTGTTATCGTCTTACATTGTAGACTACTTTTATTTTTAACATTTTAAAAATAAAAATTACTTGGCCTACCAACTATTAGAAACTTAAACACAAATAGGCCTAAACGAAACATTAAACAAAGCACGAAATAAATCAGGTAGTGCCTTTTGTAAAATGGTACCTATACAGTACAAACTGTATTTTGTTGAGTCAGTCTTTATGGGGTTTATTCAACAGTGTTGTCCTTTAGACACATAACTTTATTTTTTTATGAAGTTTTCATTTCTTTTATTTTCTCTGGTTTTTTTTAGCCTCCTTGGTTTTCTTAAACTCTCTTTACATTACTTCTTTTTCTGGTTTCTTGCCCTATAACATCTCTTCTACTGCGTCTTCCTTCTTTCTTTTTGGTAACTTCAGTGAGAGACTTGTTTCCTTCTTCTTCCTCTATGACGTAAAGTACAATATCTCTTGCCGATGCGGAACTAGGGATTTCAGTGACAAAATGCGTGAATGCTTCTGGAATTACACCCGCTTTAAGTAGGTACATAAAATCCTTTTTCTTGGCGCTGGAAACCGGAATAGGCTCGGTGTACTTTGGACTGAGAAGTTGTTGTTTCCAGACAAATGGCGTCTCGGAATCCATTCGTACATCAAGAGTCAAAAACTCGATTTCCTTGTTAAGTTCGTACTGGTATAGAATTTCAAAGCGGTTTGCTTTTTAAAACCCAAACCACTTTACCTTTAGCCAATTCACGGATTCTTTTTTGGTGTTATGTTCTGTTGTGCACAGATGCTGTATGTCCTAAACCTAACCTAATTGTAAAATAAAATGTGGACATACTATAAGAGTGCACTTGAGATCATCAGATTTTTGGACATACTACAAGATGAAAAACAAATACCAGAGATAGTAGGCCTTGTATTTTCATGCACAATCATTGTAAGTCCAAAGATACTATATCATCTGTGCTCTAAAGGAGTTTTTCTCTGTTCAGCTGGTACTGCAATCATTGGACATGCTACAAGTGTGCAGGATAAAATTACATCATACCAAAGTGAACACTTTTATTTTGAGAATTTATATTAATTTTTCCTATTGTAATATGGACATACAATATGTGTGATCTGAAAGATGAAGACTACAGCTTTCCAAATATATAAAAATGTCAAAAGTGAAAAAAATTGGACATACAATGTTTGTGCATATAACCATCGATATTTGGTTTTGCCACCCTTGTGAACATTGAATTCGATATACTGCACACTATTATCTAGAAGTAAGTTTTATTTTAGTTTTTCCCCATGAATCTATTTTGGCGGCCATTTTGTGGTGTCAAATGACGTCAAATCACATTTTAAGTTTCATATTTAGTTTCCCCACCCTTCAAAACATTAAAAACTATATACTACAACCTATATATAGCAATAATATTTTTATCTGTTTTTTTTACGGAGCAATTATTATTTTAATTTAAATACCATAATTCAGGTACTTCCCCAAGTCAGATTTTGGTAGACTTTTTTTGTGTTGTGTGGAGGTATAAAACTAATGAAATCCGTTGAAAAACCTTTTGAAATAATTTTGTTGAACCTCCGCTATATATTTATCTTTAATTACCGGACTACTATGGCATTTGATAAAGAACGACCATCGGTTTATGATCTTGTTAAAATGGGTTGCTCTTGCTCGTAAAATAAATAAACAAACTTATATTGCAATCATAATGTTGACATATTTTGGTTTACTATCAACAAAGCAACAGGATGACACCATCTTGGATCTTGCCTCTAATTTGACAAGTCCCACCAACCACAAACAAAACCAGAAAAACAGTGGTACGTTTTTAAAACACAGAGTGGTTACTCCAGTTATTATTATAGCTCAGTGTACCCAATGTGTTTAATTGAATTGGAAAATAAATAACAGCAATTAAATTATGCAGCTGATCAAAATGTAAACAATTATGTTCTTCATAAGGATAACATGGGAACTGTAACAGCCACTGGGGCAGAGCCCAAGGGTCTTTTTCCAAAAATGTAAGGTCAGTTTGCAAATCACGCTCTTTCCAATGAGACGTCAATGGATAAAATCAGTTAAGAAATGGCGGAGGAGTTCAACCGACAAAGTTTCATGTAGCGTGTTAATTATACAGTGTGTAAATTAAGTATTGAAACAAATCTGTATTTTTTAAACCGAAATAGATAGAACTATTCTGTTTGTAGCATTGATTCTTACAAAGGTTCCGCAATTTTTTACATCAAAATTTTTTTTAACCCCCTTAACAGGGTAAGGGGTTACTTATTTTTTCGAATAGCAACCCCTATTGAGTGACCCCTCATTTTGAAGGGCTTGTCAAAAGAAACACAATGAAGAGTTTGTATTGGAACAGTATAAAGTCCTAGATGTCTTTGCAAAACCGGTATCTTTGCCAATAATACAAAAACTTGAGCTGGTAAAAAGTGACAAATGCTATAAGAATATGCCGTACAAACAACTTCTTGGAAACTTAATATATCTAATGCTGGGAACTAGACCTGATCTGTGCTATTCAGTTACATACTTCAGCATTTTTCAAAATTGTTATGATTGCACACATTGGCAGCATCTGAAAAGTATCGTAAGATATTTGATTGGAACAAAGGATTTCTCTCTTATGTACACTAAAGAACACTCAACAGGAAGGGATATACAATGCTACTGCGACTCTGATTTTGCAAATGACGTTGAAGAAAGAAAAAGTATCAGTGGCTACGTATTTAAGGTGTTCGGTAACACAGTTGCATGGAAAACAAAGAAACAACCTGTTGTTGCTTTATCTAGTTGTGAAGCTGAGTACATCGCTCTTGCAGCTTGTGCTACTGAATGTGTTTTTATCTCCCGCTTGATATCTGAAATGTTGTTTATAGAAATGTCACCAGTATTGGTTCATGAAGATAATCAATCATGCATCAAGAAGGCCACAACTCTGGAGACAAAGAGGTCGAAACACATTGATGTACGATTTCACTATACAGGAACTCATAGCAAAGAAGATTATTGAAGTGAAATATATTGCAAGTGAAAATCAAGTTGGTGATTTTTTTTACTAAAGGGCTATCAATTGCCAGGTTTCAAAAGTTCAGAAAAGAACTAGGACTTTTCTAATAGTTTATTTAATCAGTTGTGTTTGTTTAGATTTGAATTGGATTGAATAATTGTGGGGGAGTGTTGAAGATAAATAATTCTAATGTGCATGAAAATATTGTTTAAATGTAGGTATTTAAATTTGGAACAGATGGTATTATTTCATATGTTCAATAATATTAATAGTAATTGTTCCTGTGTTGTAAATAGTTGGTTTCTGTCTCCAGTTTTTGTAAGAAAATTAAAAATCTTTAATCCAAGTCTAAAGCTTCCCACTAATGTATCCCTTCCTACTGTAACACTCCTACCCAAATATGTTATAACTTGAAATTTCATGTATGCCAACTTTACCAGGCCAACCTAACTAATAATCTTTGCTTGGAAATGGGATGAAGTAAAAAGCTAGTTAAAAAAACAAAACTTGTATTTCAATTAACAACTTTATACAACAGTACAAGGCAACTAAAGTACATATTATTTACATATTTTACAATGCTATATATTTATATACACAAAATTTGTTTTTTAGAAATCCAAATTAGTAAATTTTAAAAAGAACTAGTTATGACTAGTTTATTAATTCAACTCGGGTTCTCTTTTTTGAAAAGAGTATATAAAGAAGTATGACTCCACTTGTTAGTTTAAAAACTTGTGAAAACTTGAAACAGAGGACTTTAAACACTTTTTACAGAAAGAACACAATAGTTAAATACCACTTCAATATGAAATATATTTAACCTAAAGTAAAATAAAACATTAATAACAATTTTTTCACACACTCATTCTTCCATACCTTTTACAGTTGTTGCAGGTCTTTAGGATAAACTATATAAGAAACTATATTATATTAAGAATTATTATTAATATACAAACAAAACACAGACATACATAAAAACATACAATAATAATATTTTATTATATTTAAATGATAATAAGGGAAACAAATAAATAGAATTACACACTAACAATACAAATTACATGAATAAAATTAAAAATTGATTTTGGAATTATAGTATTTTATATCTGAAGATTACATAAAGGTCACATTCATGAAGTACTATTATAATACGAGTGTTTATTTAGATCAATTTTGCCAATAAGTGATTCTTATATATGTCTGTTACGCCAAGTAAAATTCTCTAAGAAAATAAAAATACAAGTATCTATATACTAACTGCTTCATCAGATTTGTATGCCAATTAAAGTATTGTTTAATTTGATATAGAAATGATGATTGTATAGGTGACTTTGCCATAATTCATTATAACAAGTTATAGGACTTATTTATACCACAATTCAATTGCAGTTTATTTATCTTTTTTACTATTCTAAAGCTGTAAATAGTTTGATTAAGCTTGGGATAATAGACTTAGAAATATAACATCCAGCACAATAGAGCCCCATATAACGATCAATAATAAAACATCTGTTTAAATAACTAAATTAATGCCAACTATAATAGTTCAGAATAGTGCCAGATTAAAAAAAAAAAATTGCTGAAGATTGACAAAAAAATGTTGACAAATAATTTCACCTAATACATGTTTGAGTTTGTTAAATGTTCAGTTATACATTAAGACAACTGTATATATCGAACATAGTTGTAATTACATTATTTATACAGAAATTGAATAACAAATTATGAGACAATAATAGCTTTTTACATCACATTTCATTAATGAAATGGCGAAACGCTGGGTTCATTGTACGCAAAAAAGAATTAAATTTAATGAAAAAGAGTTGATATTGACAAAGACTAACTGACCAATTTGTTAACACCACAATAAGCTATTAGCAAGTAACATCATAGCTACATGTTTAGGGAATTTTTAATGAGTGAATATTACTACAAATTCAACTTAGAGAGACAAACCCTAACATCTGACTTAGTATGGGGCATCTGTTAATCAGAGATGTACCTTATAATGAATGGCGGTTAACCTTTTATATATATAAATTGAAGACTCTTTTCTTTAAAAATGAATTTATCTATAAGATATAAATGTAGAAGTACCTAAAACATAAGGTAAAGTTGAATAGTGATAATTTTTTTTATGCTATGATAAATGAATCATTCACTGAACATGAATAGTACTTTCAATAGTAAATTATGCAATAAGAATGTGACATTTAATGCAATCATAAACTCATCTCAATAAACGTTATTGTTTAGTATAATATTACCTTAATTTTATAAGAAGCATTTACAATCATTTTTAGACCACATATAGTCACTTAAACTTGAATGTTACTTTTACCATAACGAACATTAACACCATAAACAATTGCGTTTTCTTTAGATGTATTTAGTTTTATGTCGTAAAATGTATAACATATACGTTTTTATTTTATTGGTTGGTTTTAGGTCATGTAAAGGTATAAATTAATGTTAAAGCAAGGAAATTACAATTAAGTAATTATTGTAGCACTATCCCAAGTTTACCTTACAATGGTAGAGAACAAACACAACCTAGAATTATATTAATATTGTAAAGTAATTATTCTACTCTTGAGTGGTAATGTTTTAGTTAATATTGAGCATAGTCACTCGTGATAGTCGCCATTGTAATAAGTGTCTAGTGAGGAAACAATATAAAAATCTTTTACAACTTTTGCAAGCACAAAATAAATAACACAACAATCACTCACACTTTACAAACAAACAAAAATTTACTTCAAATCCTAGAAAACAAATTGAGTTAAAAGGGTTAAAATGGTTAATGACTAACTGATGGAAGTATACACAAATACAGGTAGCTACATTTAACAGAGGACCAAGGATCATTTTAATAGAACTGAAACAACTGGTACAAGTAAATTAATGCTAAAGTACACTGAGCTTACATCCACATTAAGGATATTTATAACTATAACCTCTTTGAGTATCGATTCATATGTATTAATCCTCCAACAAACAAAGAAGACAGTTTTGTGTGTTCTAAGTTCTTTGCCTCATTCTTCTCTTCAAGATAATCACAATTACTGTCAACAGCTTCCAGGCAGTTTAAACCTAAATGTTACAACAGACAACAAACGGCGATTATTGAATAGTTATAAACAACAACAATACCTCTATAATCAAACATTGGCCTGCTTCAATCTCTGATGGTGGAACACAGTGGCACAAGAGACTTGGTCTATATGCAAGTTGCTGCAACCAACGTAATAAAATGGATGATGAACAGAGTTGGTAATTATCAATATCTTAAACAAACTTTTAATTTTTTTAAATAAAAAAAAATTATAATATACCGGTACCAATAGAAAGCATTATATGTGAGGAACAACAGTGAATAGTTTTATAACTTTTACAGGATGTCCCTGAAGTCTCTACCTCCTTTTTAGCAAATTTACCTATAGGGAAAAAGTAGCTATTACCATAGGTGGCACGGTAAGACCTAGGCCCGGGACTGATTTACTTTTTCATTTTGATGTCCGCAGAGGCCAAAAACACCATCCGTTCAAAGTGTTATATATGTATATATATAGATTTAACTATATATGTGTCCGTGACTGCAAAACTTGAGTAATTTTTGTCAGATTTTGATGAAATTTGGATTGAAGGTGTAAAGTGGGATAAACTTTGAGTTTGTGAACCAGCATGATCGGACCATGGGAACGGGGTTTTACAGGGTTTTTTTGGTAAAAATTTGTTTTTCTTATTTTTGACCCTCAAAAAACTTAATTTTCCAATTTCTCTCAACCATTTTAAAGAGATTAGCCTATATTAACAAATAATTTAGTATATCAAAGCGTATTTGTACGGTTATTGGTTAGGCAGAAAATTCAGAACATTGTAAATTTCAAGTTCCCATATTATTCTTATAGAGAATATTGTAAAATGTTGGAGTTTGCTGGTTTACGGATATATTTTAATCAAACTTGACAAATATATTTATTTTATACTAAGCTATTAATATTTTACCAAACACAGACTTCATTAATCTCCCTGTAGCAGCAAACCTAGGTACTCGTTAAACCTACTGTTATTTAAATAGATTAAATTTAAAATCCATTTGGCAAATGAAAATTTGCTTAGTCTGCACGTTTGCTGCAGCAGGGGTGTTAATGTATTATTCCTGGATAAAAAAACAACTAAATTATTACCAGGGTTGGCACTAAATTTGAAAAATAAAATTCCCTGACTTTTCCAGGTTTTCTAGACTGATATTATACTTTTTCCAGGTATACCATAAAGGCCCATTTTGCTTGGAGTGACTGCATCGCGCAGCAATTATCGCTCAACTACTATCGCTGTTGCGGCGGTCGTTTTGCTTAGAGCGATTGGTTTTCGGCTGCCACACGATTTTTCATAGTTAGTTGAATACCAGCGCTCACAATAGTGAAGTCATGAGCAACCTTTTAAAGTATCTCCTCAGTGAGGAGTTAGAAAACGAGGCTCTACTTGAAGTTTTGACTGTTACAAAAATTGTCAAGCATTCTATATTTTAATCTCGAATAGAGGAGGGTAACCTAAAAAAATAGATACACAACTATTTGCGTAATGACAATGCAAAGTTTTTTTTCAAACTACGTTTTGTTTTGTTTAATAATAACTTAACTTTTCATCCTCTTCCATTGTAAAAAAACTGCTTTGGAGCATCAGCTAGCTTTAGTACCCACCATTGCTACCAGTGAACTGCACTGTTTTGAGGTTCTGCACATGTATCGGTACGCATCCGTCGCGGCACGATTATCGCAAGACTGGTATCCAGGACAGTGGTCCGCGACCGTAGCTAGGGACACTTGCGATAGTCGCTCTGAGCAAAACAGAACAACGCAAACTCCATCAGAGCAGTGCCCAGCTACTATCGCAGAGCGATTATCACTACACGACTATCTATGAAACCATAAAAAACTATCCAAGCAAAATAGGCCTTAAGTCGATATCGATCAAGATCAAGGAATATTAGATGACATGTAATTTAACTTATTTAATCACACACTAAAATTAACTATTGATATAAAAATGTGCTTATGTTGTTCTTTTTGCCATTAGTCATCTGACAAAAACATGTTTACGCCACACTACACTATTTTGACGAACTTCCCACACAAGGATTTATTCCAGAAAACAGCTGTTTGCCGCCAGCTTAATCAAATGGGGTTTCATTGCGTACTACTCTACTGTAATGAGTTTTACCGGACACCAATCAGCTGATTATACTGTATTTGGGTGGCAATGAATGGTTATAAACAAAAACATAACCTCTCTTAGAGGTTATGACTAGTGATTTTTAGTCCTTTAGTTGATGGTAATATATAAGGATTTGTACAGATTTAGTACTATGGCGTAAACTATCGTACGTCACTCGTCCAAAATGTGTTTACCGGACTCGTATGGTAATCCCGTACACTTATTTAGGAGAAATTCCAGAATTTTTTTCATAATTTGCTGTTTTTTCCAGACCAACAAAATTCCCCAACTTTTCTAGGTTTTCCCGGACCGTACCAACTCTGTTATGTAAAACTCAAAATTTTCACAAACTACTTTTTATTTGATAAAAGCTTTTTGTGGTGAAAATAGTAAATTCAAATTTGGTATATAGATTATTTATTTGGCACAACAACATATTTTGAGATAGAATATCATTTTATAAGTTTCCAAATGGCAGCCATTTACAAATTTTAAACTTAAATTGTATAAAAACTACATAGGTAAACAAAATTACTGTGATGTGGATTGATTACAATGTATTTCTAAAGGTGTATTAACATGTTTTTATTCATATCATATCAAATGTGTTCACATTGATAAAATAATAAATATTTTTTATTTAACTATTTATAAAATGTTTTATTCAATCTGAGCAAAGTTCCGCCTCCCAGTACCTGGTACTGATACCTTAAAAGGTCGGTAGAGAGTTTAGGGCACCCAGCATAAGGTTTTCATAATGATGGACACAGGTAATGCCCACAGGGCGAGATTGATCTATATAAGAACAATGGTTCAATAGTGTGGATTGTACCTTGACTAAGACACCAACAGAACAGCAAACTTTATAAATGAGTGTTTAAAATGACCCAGAATAGATTTTTTGTTTATTCAATATACTGCTTGAGCTACTACTTATCTAGCATAGTTCCTATGCAAACATTCTATTTAACATACAATAGTGACCCTTACTTTACCTTTACAGGTAACAGCCTGCTAGGAATTCAGAAATGGCTTAATGGGATCATGAATTTGAATCACCATACTCAAATAGGAAACCATACAAAGATCTCTAAACATTAATAAATGTTTCCTTTTCATTTGCCTTAATTTGTTATATTTTTTATTGGAAAACCATTGAAACTATCTGTTAATTACATGGTTTTGACAATTCTTAAGCTTGTTTTTTAACAATTATATGACATAATATAATAAGCTTGGAAGTAATTCAAAATTAAAATGGTATATACCATATGTAGGCCAAATGGTACATACTTAAACATTTTTTTACATTGTTGCTGGTCATGTTTGTTAATGACAAACTGTATTGTGTTTTGAGTCCCTTGTTAACATTTAAGATTATTCCTGATTCTCTCTGAGCAGCACCTATGGATCACTATATTTGTTTGTAAAATAGCATTCTTTGTCCAAGAAATATGTTACAAAATTAGCAGCTCCATTATACGATTTGAAAATTGCAACACTGTTCCAGGAAAGTTGAACACCCACATACAACGTACACAACATTTATACTGCTCTACAATTTTGGTAGTTTAACACTGCTAAATATACAATAATATTATACTAGATATACACTTTGATCAATGGTTATTAGAAATCCGGGTCCTTTTTCCGTTAATTAACTACCACTACTTTTTTATTGCAATTCCGTTTATTCACTACCAGAATTTTGTCATAATCAGCAAGTTTGGTTGGTTTGGTTTCTTAACTAACCAAATTGGTTAGTTAAGAATAGTTTCATTTTATAATTGATATATTCATAGACTAGGTAGGTCAACTGTTAAAAATATTGGAATTGCAATTAAAAAACAGTGGTAGTGAATTAACGGAAAAGAACCAAAATCCAATAATCAGCAAACACTTTTTGGTAAAAAAATGGTAATGCCAACAATAAAAGTAATGAAGTAAGTTAATACTAATAAACATTGTATAATACATTATAAATGAATCGTTATTTTATCAACAAACAAAACAGTTTCTAAAATAGTTGTCAAAGGTGCAATTCTAAGCTTAGACAAAACACTAATATAAAGTTCCATGTATTCAACATAGAAAATCAATTAATTTTATAAACTGTTTTAATAAAAATTATTTTTGCACAGATGTTTTATTTTTCAAATAAATATTAAATTGGAAGAAAAACATTAACCCATCATCTAAAATTAGTAGAACAATCACCCTCATACATGGGAAAAAATCTTTTTAATAAGCTTCCTCCAAATCTAAAATCGGAAATTGATTCCAAAACCTTTAGAAGCAGCCTAAGATTTCTGCAGCTCAGATCATATTTGAAATTGAATGATTTTTTATCAAATTAACAAAAAAAAAAACTATTTAATAGGAAATAAGGGATACTATGAAAAGATTTGTCAATGTTATTTATTTTATTTAAATACCTGTCATATGTTACAATTTTAATTAAAATCAATACAATATTATTATTGAACTGGATAAAAAACGATATATATCAATATTCATCTGATAATATATCATAGGTTCTCTGCGGAAGTCTCCCAATTTTTTTTTACATTATTGCCGTCCTTTGAAATAGTCAACTTATTTCTTTGCTTTGAACTGTTTCCTTTTAAACTGAAAGGTAAAGGTTCCTTGAAATAAAAAGGTAATAGCTTTCAACGTTCAAATTCTTATGGTCAAAGGATCTTAGATGATATGTTAATGCAAAAACATTCTAATGGCTTCAAAATCCTTTTATATTTTAATTTTAGTCAATATTCTTGAGTCAAACCAAAGTTTTTTGCCTCTAAACTGTGGTTAATAAACAGTTTAAAAGAGCCTAAAAATGTGTCATTTTACACTTCCACTTACACTCTCTTCATGCGACCCATAGTTTGGGAACCGTTGATTTACTGTTTGAATATTGTAGTAGTGTCTTTTAAATGTGTACGTTCACTTTGAGAGCTTATAATTTATTTTTACAGTAGACCCCCTCTTAACCGACCCTAATGGGACCGGACCTAGGTCGGATAACTCAAACAGTCGGTTAAAACGGGCAATCCCTAAAAACATAGCAAAATGAAGTACCATTCATTTGGAATTATAAAATCATTATTTTAAAGTCGTACTTGAATTATTTATCAAATAAACTACACGCACGCATAACTTGAAAAGAACCGGTATGGATCATAAACATAAACAAATGACGTTTTTGGCCCGAAAATATACATTATTTAACATTGCTTAAATGGAACTGCCAAAACATATGTTGCTATTAGTATAGGATTTGGGCCAACATAATTTGTTTATGTTTATGATCCATACCGGGTCTTATTCTAGTATTCGTGACTACACTTATATAATTTTTTCGTATACATTTTTTTTTGTCCTAGGACGCTAGGCATGAGCCTGGGATTGTTTTTCACATTACTTCAGGCTAGGCTTAGGGGTTGCGGTGTTATCACTTAGATATGATATTGGTGATTTGGCAGGATTTTAACCCGGGACCCCAGGGATCCCGAACTCTAACCACTAGACCAACTCGCTCCTCTTTTTTTGTATTAATAATATAAAAGTCAGAAATAAACACAAAACACGTTTCCAATACTTTCAGTGAAATAAATTATAGTTGTGGGCAAGTCAGTAAAAATTCTTATTTGAATAACTTTAGAACTGTAATATTAATTGATGCTTTCCAAATCTACCGTAATACAGTACAGAACTCTTTGTCAAAATTAAAGATATTAGCAACCATTTTTTTACGAGACAGATTGTTTATTTATAGCCTCTCACTGCAGGCTCGAGTCACAAAAACTATCTTGACTCCTTGGAGTCGTTAACTGCCCTCTCTACAAGTTGCGTGTATGTTTACTCTAGCAATGAGATAATTCTAGATTATATTACAATAATAGCGGCTGTTTTCAGAAATATATTTTTTTGGGATGAATACAAAATAGCTTATTCTTAGTCACATCCTGTGGAGATATAAGCATATGGTTCCCATCGCCGAGCGTGGGAGCTAAAGTGCCGAGATTCATAGAAAAGCGGCTGTTAAAACAAACTGTTCTCAAAGCAAGGTCGGTTAGAACAAATTGTAATATTTTATAATCGAGGGCATTTAATCCGATTATCTGTTATGCGAGGTCGGTTAAAAGGGGATCTACTGTACTTTGAAGATGGTAATAACAATATTGGGGACTATCTGGAATAAAGCATGTAAATTGATAAAACTAATAATACAATTTAAAAATGAACTAGCTGTTACCCATGGGGCTTCGCCCCATTTGACTTCATAAGTATTAATAAAACTATTGATTGGTTAAGTTAAGCTGAAATAAACAAAACAGAATACAGTAATACAAACAAATAATCACAACTGATTTTAATAAGGTAATAAATTGAAAGAATAACAAACAAATAAGTACAGCTGAGGTATTTTTAACATTAGGTAGGCTTATATGGAAAGGTCCCTTTAGAAAGGAATTATGACATTAAGGGGCAATTTATGAAATAATGGATAGTTTTGCGCAAGGTTTCTCGTTATGACAAACATTTTAAGTATATGGTTTACGGGGTATGACTTTTAGTTTTCTCAAAAGTTCAAGGGTACTTTGGGATTTATATATGGATGTACTTTTATATATCTAATACTTACATAATAGTCAGATACCAGGGTGCACATGGGGAGAGGACAGGAAATGTTAAGGGGAGGTAGCTAGAACATACAGACATAGGTTAAAGGAGTGGGATGGTAGAGTACTCTCACTAATCTAACCTGATTGGATCACGCCACTCGGATTATAGAGAAACATATTGTTCTATATTTTACTGACATACTTAAAACAACAATAAATAAATATATGGAAAGTAAGCAAGTACAATATAGTACACAAAAATAGACAGTTTACTGTAATGTATTGTATTAAGTAATAATAAGTTTACGGTGGACGTAGGACCAGGGCCGTGTTTATTTAGAGTCTATGAGGCTCAACAGAGAGACCCCCCCCCCCTATATCTTTCTGATTCTTCGAAGGTTGGAACTTAAGGGGTTAGAAATACACTTGGTATTGCTTCAACTCGAAGATTGACGTTTTATGTCCAACAATCCGATAGGTGAAATGAGCTAGGAGACTAAGCTAATAAATAAGTCTGTTAATTTTTTAATAATAATATTAGGGGTCTTAGGTTGGCACCAGATATTTTTCATTCTTTTCAGGTTGATTAAAAAATATTCACCTTCGGGCATCGGATAAAAATCAGTTGGTATTGGAATCATAGTGATGGTTGGATCCGGATATCGGACTACCGGATCCAAGCTAGAACCGGCGCCCGATCGGATCCAAAAAAAATCCGGATCTTGGGCTTGATCCGGTTTTGATGGATCCGATTTTTTTACTAACACAAAGCCTCTGTATCCATGTACAAGACTATCAGTGTCTGTGTACAAGAAGACTATCTGTGTCTGTGTATAAGAAGACAATCTGTGTCTGTGTACAAGATGACTATCTGTGTCTGTGTACAAGAAGACATCTGTGTCTATGTACAAGAAGACTCCTCTAAAAAAAGGCAACTTTAAATCAGCAGCAAGTTTTATTATATCCAAACTAATTAATGGTTTTTCTGGAAGTCTTTCAATTATTTCCTATGAGTACATTTTTCTACTTATTTACTACCAGATCCTGTATAAGGTCTCAAATAGAGCTGCTTACCACTTTTATTTTTCCTCTTGCAGGCACATTTAGGATTTTTTTCTTTTTCCCAACAGGTTTTTTCTTTCTTATTTGTTTTATTTTTATTTTTGAAGTCTGCCCTTTTTCCCAACCAAATTTTGCTTTAGTTTTCATTATGTTAGTAACTGTCCAGGCGGCAGCTCTCTTGCCAATACTAGAGTCTGAAGCTTTTACCATTTTCCAAGCTAATAAGCTGTCAGCAACTGATCTAATTTTACTATCCTTCGATCTTACAGGTTAAGTGTAAGAAAGGGCCATGTGGCCCTTAACCCCTTATTTATGTGACCCTTATTTACTTTGCCTGTGTAAATAAATGATTTTTCATTTCATTTAATTTCATCTTGAGTATGTTATATCGTGGTTTTTGCATACAGCATCCAATTTATTTATGCCTGGATCACGTCTTGCTAATCTCTTCCTTAAATTCGTTCCAGGTCCACAGTACTGATAGCCGGGTATGTGAAGTTCTACAGGTAAAATACCCCGTGTCTGTGTACAAGAAAATTATCTGTGTCCATATATGGTGAATAAAAAGCCAGACCCCACACCTGACACCAATGTAACAACCACGCATGGGAAGGGTAGAAACTCAATGATTAAATAGAGAAGAGAATGCAATACTTAATTTACTACGGTGTGTTAAATGAACAAAATGACTTTCTTAATAAGTTACTGACAATTGAAAATACAGACCATTTAGAGGAAACTATTTAAAGTTGAACATATTTGGGAAACGGACATGCCCACCCGCGGGGAAGGGAAAGGTAGCGCATAACCGCGGCTCACCAACACCTCGAGCTCGACTCTGACTGACTACCCCCAGGTTCGGCGGTCCTACACGTCACAAAGAATGATGACACCTCATGTCAGCAGAACAATCAGGCCAAGCATTCCATGCCACGATCCAAACAACCGAATGTGATGTAGCAATCGATGTACAAATGGAGATTATTCTATATAAGAATTATATACCTTTAAACATTACCAATGTAATTTTAAACAGTATGATTTAAATTGGCATTCTGTTAATTTTAAGTTTTTTTAACCCACCCTTATGACATTGTGTATCTGGATCCGGATCCGGAGATCCGAAGATACGGATCCAAATTTTTCAAGATCCGGATCCGATACCAACATTTTCTTGGATCCGTCCATCACTAGAATCAATGAATTTAAAAAATATTAATTGATATACTCAGTGCCGGATTTAGGGTACTTGAGGCCCTAGGCCGAATTACTAGAGCGGCACTCGGCTGGTGGAAATTCCTTGCGATTGCGGAATATCTCCTATGCATCAAGGGGACATTATCATCGACACCCATGATCGTGGATGAAATTGTAAACATCCCCGGGGCTGCAACAAAGGGACATCATCCTACACACTCGTGACCGTGGCAAAATTGTGAGCATATCCCTTGCTGCAACGCAAGTGAGCTGTGACCTTGAGGACATCATCACCGTCACCCGTCACCGTCACGGGGATATCTTCATTGATACCTTTAGCCGCGGCAAAATCGTAAACATCTCCCGTGAGCCGCAATCATGGGGACATCATCACTGGCACCGGCAGCAGCGGCAAAATAGTGAACATCTCCCTCGGTCCACCGAGACATCATTATGGTCAAATCTGATCGCGGCAAACTGGTGGTTTAAAATAAATTATTTTTATTTAAAAACAATTTTCTCTCCTCTGCGACCCCTTTTGCTTGCCCTCGGCCGCGGCATATTGGTAAATTCGCCCACTGGATATACTATGATTGGTTTACACAAAATCTGTAATCGCAGTCAAATCGTAAGCGTCTTCTGTGTCACAGTATAATCGAGGACATCTGCCGCAGACGCGGAGGGATCATGAACATTTTGCGCGAGTGTGGTGACTTCATCTTCGTCTCCTCCGATCGCGGTGGAATTATAAATGTCTCATGGGGCTCCGGTGGAATAGTGAACATCACGTTCTATTGCGGAGACATCCTCTTCCTCTTCTCTGATCGCGGCGGACTCATGAACGTAACCTATGGCCACGGAGAAATAGTTAGCATCTTGTGCGGATGTTGAGTTGTCATCTTCGTCTCCTCCGATCGGGGTGGAATCATGAACGAGTCATGTGGCCGGGGAGGAACAGTGAACATCTTGCGCTATCGCGGAAACATCATCTTCATCTCCAATCACGGTGAAATAATGAATGACTCCTATTGCCACGGAGAATTATTAAACGTCTTGCGCATGCGCGGAAATGTCATTTCCATCTCCTCCGACCGCGGTGGAATAATGAATGTCTCATGTGGCTGCGGAGGAATAGTGAACATCTTCCACGATCGTGGAGACATCATCTTCGTATTCTGCGATCGCGGCGAAATCATAAATATCTCCTATGGTCACCGAGAAATAGTTAGCATATTGTGCAGGCGCTGAGTCATCATCTTCGTCTCCTCCAATAGGGGTGGAATCATGAACGACTCATGTGACCGGGAAGGAATAGTGAACATCTTTCGCTATTGCAGAGACATCATCATCGTCTTCTGCGATCGCGGCGGAATCATGAACGTCACCTATGGCCACGAAGAAATAGTTAGCATCTGGTGCAGAAGCTGAGTCGTCATCTTTGTCTCCTCCGATCGGGGTGGAGCCATGAATGACTCATGTGGCCATACCATACCATTTTGTTGAAGGAGCCAAGACACCCCAACCAGGTCACCCGGTACCTAAAACTTGACCCGGGACCCATAGTGTAGGCTGAAGCTTGCGCACCAACTTTCAACACACCATGGGTGGATGGCTTAAGGCCATCAAACTCACCGGCTGCCGAAGCAACCCTTTGGAAAGAGGGTTGCCCCTCAATCCTAACTAGGGATACCGGTTACTTGGTCGCACGTGCAGTCCAAATGGGTTCCACCAGGGCCAAAACACCGAGGGACCATAATGGAGTGCCCTGAACGCAACTCAGTGCAAGCAACACTCGGGACTTACCCAATCCCTGACAGGCCAAAGCCCGTCATCAAAGCCAGGAAGAAGGGGACCGTCAGCTACCACCTATTTACACCACTACCCGATCGAAGCCTACCCATTCCCTGGGAAACCAGGGATAGCCAGGGCAATAGATCCCCAGGTACCCCCAGCGGGCTTGATCCCAGCACCGATCTACTTTGTTTGCCCATCTAGCCCAACATCACTGCCAGGCCATCAGGGTTTCCCAAAAGGAGGCAGGTTTAGAAGTGGGACCCACCCGGATGAACCTATCCACCAAAGGTGGCGGCACCCTTAGCTCAATTGGGTTCCAGGGAGAACTCCCCACACTCTCGAGAACTATACCCGCCGGGCTCAGAGACAGGGATAAGCTAATGGAGTGTGCCCCCAGCCATTGCCCTCACACTGTGGAAAGTTCCGTTCCCCGTGAGCTTACGGGTACCCGCCCATTTTCACCTCGCAGGAAAAGGTTACTTCTAAAGTCGAGGATTTGCCACAAATAATGCCGGCCGCACACAAAAAGCGGGCCGAAGCCCATAGAACCACAGCCACAGGCAGATGAGAGATTGATGGCACACTACCACCTCTCACAGAGCTGAACACCCAACCATCCTGGATGGAGGAATGTCACTGGGTACTCTCCCCGAAGGGGCTGGCTTGTCCAGTCGTCCATAACTATGGCCTACTGCCCCGTAACCATACACTTGCCCGTTTTTCGCCTCCCATGTACTACTTCCACAGCCGATGATATGCCTCGCATAATGTCAGTTGTACACCATCAGTGAACATCTTGCGCAATCACGGAGAAATCATCTACTTCTTCAATCACGGTGAAATCATGACCGACTCTTATGGCCACGGAGAAATATTAAACATCTTGCGCGAGCGCGGAAATGTCATCTTCATCTCCTCTGATCGTGGAGGAATCATGAACGTCTCATGTGGCCGTGGAGGATTAGTGAACATCTTGCACGAGCTCGGAGACATAATCTTCGTCTCTTTCGATCATGACGAAATCGTG